GAGTCACCACTGAATAATGTAGCTCCAGTATCTACCATAAAGTCCACAGGCTGGCCCCTTCTGTCATTCAGACCATAGGCTCCTGGGAACCAACAAGTCTAGTCTTCCTCATAGCCTTCCAAGGTAGCTAAGCCCATGACCTCATTCTCTGGGACCTTGCATTGCCGCTGTCCAGGTTGGTACCACCTTGGATCACCTAGCCACTCTCTCCCTCCATCACTGATGGATCATGTGAGCATTCTTGGACTGTTGTGGCCACTCATTTTTCCAATGGCCCACTTGGAAACAGTAAGCACACTGATCCCCTTACCTCTGAACAGGTCATTTCTGCCTGTCTGTTTCCTTGTTGGTTTTGACTTTGACATCATGGAGCTTCACATTGGGGGTGTCCAGAACGCTCCACTAGCAGATTTACTCTTTTTCCTTTTTTCTTTCTTTGTTTTTTTTTTTTTTTTGAGTAGTATAAAAGTTGTTTACTCTTGTTTCTACTGTAAAACTGTAAGTTAAAATGAAAAAGTGATTATATAGGTGTCAGTAATCAGAGACTACAGTGCAGATATTTTATCTAACATATGGTCAGCAAACTTCAGCATAGCAGATTATAACAGTATTTATTACACAGTCATGAGGTAAAGCAGAGCTCAAAACAGATACACATGCCATGTCAACACACATCATCATCATCTTTATCACATTTAGGGTTGACATACTGTGTTTCAATTTATTTACCATTCTGAAATATCAATGTTTAAGTCAAGGCTTTTACACATTGATCAACTTATTTCAAGTTCTCAGACCAAGTAACAGCTTCCTATCTTAGTTACATGTTAAGTAACTATAGTATAATACAATCTGTGTAATTTTTTAAAATCTTTTTGAGACAGGGTCTCCCTGTAGACCAGCTGGCCTGGAACTCACTATGTAGACCAGGCTGGCCTCGAACTCACATCCAGTTCTTTCAGGGAGGTTGGAGAGCCCAGGTCTGCTGGAGAGCCCAGGTCTGCTGGGGAGAGACTTGTGTTTACCACTCTCTGCGGCATGGGGGCCTTGTCAGAGTCTGGACTCGCTGACACTCTGCAGTGCTAAGCTCCCTACTGCTCCCTTCCCCTGTCCCAAGCTCTGCATACAAATGGTGTGCAGGGATTTCCAAATGTGGTTCCTGAGCATTGCCATTCATTTCCTAGCTATCACAGGGTATTTCCAGCCACCTTGGTGAGCCCTCTGGTAACTTACAGATAGGTATGCCACAGACAGGACTGGAAGTCAGGGGCTGATTGAAAAGACTGGGGCTTGTAATCCAGTCTCTCAAAGCCTTCTTCAGCCTTCTAACATGAAGGGGCTTGCTCATCATGCCCCACAAGTGCCATGGTTTCCAAAACTTCCTCTTTAGTTTTTCAAAGTGGCTGACATCATCACCACCTCGTTGGATAAAGGCATCAAAGAAAGCAGAGTGACTTTTTGCAATATTTTATACAATTGCAACACCCTAGGGTGACCATTACTGTGAGTGGGTTCAACTCTGCCCAGCAGTGGCCAAGGACTACTCTTCCCAGAGTTCATGCTGCTCCGGCAGATGCAGTGGCCCTGTGGTCCCGGATGCCCCCCACTCACATATAGAAGCACAGGGTCTTAGTGGGCATGCTTGAGGGTGCCCCCCTCCTGCCCCAAGGGCACTGGTCACAGCTCTGGCTGAAGTTCATTGGTGGCGGGGTCTTTAAAAAAAATTTCTTTTTAAATTTTGTATGGCTGGGCGTGGTGGCACACACCTTTAATCCCAGCGCTTTGGAAGCAGAGGCAGGCAGGTCTCTGTGAGTTCAAGGCCAGCCTGGTCTACATAGTGAGTTCCAGGACAGCTGGGGCTACAGAGAGACCCTGTCTCAAAAAGACCCCCCCCAAAAAAAATTTTGTATGTTTTGTTTGCATGTATGTAAGTGCATCTGTGTCATGCAATGTCTGTGGAGGCCAGAAGAGGGTGTCAGATCACCTGGAACTGGAGTTGCAGACGGTTGTTAGCTGTCATGCGGGTGCTGGAAACCAAACTGAGGCTCTCTGAAAGAGCAGCCAGTGCTCTTAACTGCTAAGCCATGTCTCCAGCTCCAGATTTATCTTTTTCTTTAAATTTTTTGACTTATTTTTATTTTATGTATGAGTGCTTTGTCTGCATGTATGTAAGTCCACCTCTGTGGGTACCCACAGGAGTCAGAAGAGGGCATCAAATCTCATGGACTAGGGTTGGAGTTTCTCTTTCTCATCCTTCATTCCGCTGCTCATCTGGCCTCTCATTCCCCATGGTTATGTCCAATGATTAGCATACATGCCAACAAGGTCCTCTAACTTTTGTAATATGTGCAAATGTCTGAGAAGCAAAGGCCATGTTTACCATCAGCTGGCTCTCAGGGTCAGAGGGTATGCAAAGGCAGGTTGTCACATTTGTAATGTCCATTGGTCCATATACATACCTCTGCCCAGACTTCTTAGCTTCCAATCAAAGGCATGTACCTGAAAGTGGGTGACTCTGCTTTGGCCAAAGCGCAACACCTGGTGGGCTGGGGAATTGGCTCCATCAAGTGCCTGTTCTACAGGCATGAGGACCTGAGTTTCGCTTCCCACAGCCCACATAAAAAGAGTGTTGTTCTGTGCTCTTGTAACTCCAGGGCTGAGCAGGCAGATACATTCTGGCCAAATCTATGAGCTTCAGGTTCAGTGAGATCCGGTCAAGAAATAAAAGGTGGACCCAGGCTTGGTGGTACATGTCTTTAGTCCCAGCACTTGGGAGGCAGAGGCAGGCAGATCTCTGTGAGTTCAAGGCCAGCCTGGTCTACATAGTGAGTTCCAGGCCAGCTGGGGCTACAGGGAAACCCTGTCTCAAAAAGACCAGGAAGAAAAGAAAAGAAAAGAAAAAAGGAGTGGAGAATGGTTGAGGAAAGATGATCCACATCTGATCCCTGGTCTCCACATGCACACATATGCCTAGCTGCTCCAATGGAGCTACCACTTGATTGAATGACTGAACCTGTAATATCTACTGTCATCCTCCAGGATCCATTTGGCCTTTCCAAGGCCCAGACTCATAAATTACATAGAGACAAAATGGAGTCCAATGTCTCTGCATTTCTTAGGCTTTTAACAATGTTACTAACTTCTGACATTTCCTTAGGGGGAAAAAACCCCTAGATTTTTCATGTATTGGCAGAGTGGGTAGATTAGGCCCAGAATTTCCAAATGATCTTTCCCATCTTAATAGCTTCTTATTATAAGAAATAATGTAGATCCCAGCATAAACATGCAGCTCGGTTAGCAGAGTGCTCTCCTAGTATGCATGAAACCCTGGGTTGAATCCCCCATCACATAAACATCAGCAATCCTAACACTCAGGGGGTAGATACAGGAGAATTAAGAAAGCCAGCCTGGGCTGCATGAGAATCTGTCTCAAAAAATAAGTAAATAAAGTAAGACCTATCACTTGGGAGGTGGAGACAGGAGGATCCAAAGTCATCTTTGGTTACACAGGGGAGTGCAAGTCCAGGCTGGGCTATGTGAGACTCAGTCTCTTTTTTATTTTAATTAATTAACTAATTAATTAATTAATTTTTGTATTTTTGAGACAGAGTCTCCCTGTAGCCCCAGCTGGCCTGGAACTCACTATGTAGACCAGCCTGGCCTCAAATTCTGCCCGTCTCTGCCTCCCAAATGCTAGGATTAAAGGCGTGCACCACCATGCCCGGCTTCAAAGATGTGTCTTGATCACTTACCTACTAATAGAAACTTAGGCTCTAGAGCCCAGTAAGAAAATAGTATTCACCCCACACATTCCAAGCATAGAATTCATCCCACGCACTCCAAGCTGCAACAAACCCTCACATCACCACTGCATAACTGGACATACTGCAGTCTTCTAGGATCCTGCTCAAAGGATTACTGCTTTTTCATTCCTAGATACATGTCCCAGGCTCATTTCTCATTGCAGCTGGTTTGTTTGTTAGTTTGTTTTGTTTTTGAAGCAGGGTCTCCCTGTAGCCCCAGCTGTCCTGGAACTCACTATGTAGACCAGGCTGGCCTTGAACTCACAGAGATCCGCCTGCCTCTGCCTCCCAAGTGCTGGGACTACAGGCATGCGCCACCATGCCTGGCCCAGCTTATTATTTTTATTTTATGTGTATGAATGTATTGCCTGCATGTGTGTAAGTGCACTTGTGTCGTGCAATGCCCAAGGCAGTCAGAAGAGGGCGTTGGATCTCCTGTTACTGAAGTTAAGGGCCGTTATTAGCTGCCATGTGGGTGCTGGGATTCGAACCCAGGTCCTCTGCAAGAACAGCCAGTGCATTTAACCACTGAGCCACCTCTCCAGCCTGAGATTCTGTCTCAAAGAAGCAAAAACACAAACAGAAGAATATGGAAGTTGTGCTGGCTTCCAAGCATTTTCATTTACTCCTATGCTCATGCACTGGGGAATGACCTCTGTGAACCAGGTCAGCTCTGCACCTTCCCACCATCTACCCCCACTAACATAGAAGGCATGATTAAAAGATCAATGATGTCAGCTGGGCGTGGTGGCGCATGTTAATCCCAACACTCAGGAGGCAGAGGCAGGCGGATCTCTGAGTTCAAGGCCAGCCTGGTCTACACAGTGAGTTCTAGGACAGCTGGGGTGACAGGGAAACCCTGTCTCAAAAAGACAAAATAAAATAAAATAAAATAAAATCAATGATGTCTTGTCAAGACTCTCTAAAGAAATTCCTGATCAAAAATCATTATTTCCTAGAAACAGAACAAGAAATCCCAGACAGCTGACACCTTCTTATTGCACTTCGGCAAAACAAGCAAGGCCTCCAGGAACAGTGCAGGGCAGCATGAGGTGTTGAGACCATAGTTGTGCTTTAATTGGGGTGTTAATTTTCTGTCAGGACCACCAGATGTCTAGATAAACAAAGTCTGCTGGTTCTACATCATATCCGGTGGTCATATCGCACACAGCAAAAACCTTCACACTGTAAACCACGTCACATAACCACTGTAGAAGGTCACTGGTTTTATTTTAGTTTAGTTTAAAGCAAAACAGGGTTTATCTGTAATTCACAATCAGAGTCCTTGTTCCTGAACACTTAGGTATAAAATATTGCCCATCATTTTGCTGTTCAAATTGAATTTTTCAAAAACAGCATGACTTTTAAAAGTTACTATTTAATAACTGGAGTCTAAGTTAATTTCATAATGAGGTTGATACAGTGATATAAAAATGTAGGTATTCCCAGAACAATAAGATAGATAACAGCAATAGCACATACTTCTTTAAGAATTAATGAGAATAAAAGGGTGATAGGGTTCAAGATTTGTTCCACGTATTAAAATTTTCTGTAAAACTCTTTATCCCAAGACTAATCATTTAAACATGGTACACAAAATATTCTGGTTACAGTGTTCAATGCCAAGGTGGGGAAAGGTCACTTTCACGCAATAAAACCATCTTTTGCTTGTTCTTGGTTTTGCATGGGGAGCTTCCTCTCAAGAGACCTTAAGTTGTAATAGAAAACATCATTTTCATCTACTGGCTGGTATCCCCATTCCATGTTAGCTAGGAAGCCACTTCCAGATTCTGAGCCAGAACCAGAGCCTGAACCAGAGCCAGAGCCAGATGGAGAGCCGGAGCCTGATCCAGAGTACTCTTCAGAAATAGGGAAGACATCATTCCAGTCCTGGGATCTTCTCATTCTGAAATATGAAAAGAAAAACAATGTAAAGTTTGATTCATAAAGAGCATGACTACGGAGCTGGAGAGATGGCTCAGCAGTTAAGAGTACTGGCTGCTTTTGCAGAGGAACTGGGTTCAATTCCCAGCACCCACGTGGTAGCTAACAACATTCGTAACTCCAGCTCCAGGGAATCCAACACCCTCTTCTGACCTCTGGGGGCAATGCATGACATGAGTATACCTACCTCCATGCAAGCAATACACTCATAGACATGAAATAGAAATAACAATTTTTTTTATTTTTTTATTTTTTGATCTTTTTTGAGACAGGGTCTCCCTGTAGCCCCAGCTGGCCTGGAACTCGCTATGTAGACCAGGCTGGCCTTGAACTCACAGAGATCCGCCATCCTCTGCATCCCTAGTGCTGGGATTAAAGGCGTGCACCACCATGCCTGGCAGAAATAAAAATTTTTTTTAAAAAGAGCATAATTATAACATTTTTAAAGACTTATTTTATTTTTAATTATGTTTCTGTGTTTGTGCCTGTGTGTGTGGGTATGTGCATGTGAATGCAGGTGCCTACAGAGGCCAAAGGCATCCAGTTTCCCTAAAGCTGGAGTTACAAGCAGCTGTGAGCTGCCCAATGTGGGTGCTGGGATCATCTGCAAGGTTAGTAAGCACTCTTAACCACTGAACCATCTCTCCATTCCCCAATCATAATTTTTAATATAAAGAAATAAGCTGGTTGTAGGGTGCACACAAATAATCCCGGCACCTGGGAGGTGGAGATAGGAGGCAATAGGCACTATGTATCCTTGGCTATATAGTGAGTTGTGACCAGCTCATGGGGTACATGAGCTCTTGTCTCAAAAATAGAACAAAAACGGGAAAAAAATGAGAAAATAAATTTAAGCACCTAGTGAAAAAAATAAAAGTCAGGCGCCATGAAGTCTCTCAGGCAGGTCGCGTACCGGTCAAGAATTCCAACTTGCCGATAAGTAAGTTTTATGGCCGAGACATCTGGCTTACTGATAAGTAAGTTTCATGGCCGAGACATCTCCAACTCACTGATAAATAAGTTTTATGGTTGAGACATCTGGCTTAGTGATAAGTAAGCTCCCCGCTCTCCCTGTAGCATTTTGTAATAGTTTAAACTAACCAATAACCGCGTTTCTGCTTCTGTATCCTGCTTCTGCCCTATAAAAGTGCCAAACCCCAGCCTGTAGGCGCGCAAGTCCCCCGAGGAGACTTTGTGCCCACAGGTACCTGTGTACTAAATAAACCTCTTGCTGTTGCAACCCGAAGGCTGACTTGTCCTCTGTGGTTTCACTCTTACACTAGTTGTTCAAATTCAAATTTAAAACCGTAGTCAGCTGGGCGTGGTGGCGCACGCCTGTAGTCCCAGCACTTGGGAGGCAGAAGCAGGTGGATCTCTGTGAGTTTAAGGCCAGCCTGGTCTCCATAGTGAATCCAGGACACCCTGTCTGCCACGCTTCTCTTTGTTTGTTGTTTGCTCCACTTCCAGGTCTCCCATGGCAGACTTGTGCAAACAAGTCCACTTTTCTTATCACAACTATAGCAATCTTATATTTTGGATTTGCTCACACATCATTTACTTTTTTTTTTTTAAAAAAAGACCTTTTTGTTACTTTCTCACTAGAGAAAGGGCACACAGCCAAGTCAATCTAAACAGAGAACATTTTTCCCAACGTAAGCTTTCCACAAAACTTCTACTACACATACACTGCTTCATCCAACAAAGCTTACTCTATTTCATTTTATTTTTTTGTTTTGTTTTTTTGAAAGAGGGTCTACTATTTGGCCTAGAGTTCGATATGTAGATCAGGCCTGCCTTGAACTGATAGAGAACTGCCTTTGCCTCTGCCTCTGCCTCCTGAGTGCTGGGCCTAAAGGCATGTGCCACCATGCCCGGCTTACAAGGCTTACTTTTGAGAGAATTAAAAAGAGAACTGTCTCAATATGTAGCCCAGGCTGGTCTCAGAGGCTCCTGCCTCAGCCTCCTAGTGCTGGAATTACAAGTGTGTGCTTTCATGCCTGGCTTGAGAAATTCTTTGTAGAAGTTATTTTTACCAGCATATTAACATTTAATTTTCCTCTCCCAAAACATATCTTGTAAGACCTGAATCTACACTCATGAGCTGAGAGTGAGGCTACTGGGGCTCGGAGTGTGTTGATTGCATTTCCAATGAGCACCCAAGGACAGAACAGAAAAATGGTGTGCCCATCCTTGGCAAATCAGGACAGCAAAGTATCTTTGTCAAATGGTGAATATCAAGTCCAGAGTGGTGGCACACAGCTCTAATCCCAACATGTGGGAACTAGAGTTAGGAGGATGACCACAAGTTTGTGGCCAGCCCGCTGTCCATAGCAAGACCATGTCTCAAAAAGAAAAAAATTAAAAAATAGCCAGGTATGATAGCACATGCCTTTAATCCCAGCTCTCAGGAAGCAAGCTCTCTGTGAGTTCCACACCAGCCTGGTTTACATGGCAAGTTCCAGGCCAGCCAGGGCTGCATAGTGAGACTCTATCTCAAAATAAATAAATAAAAAAATTTTAAAATGTGGTAGTCTATGGGTCATTTCCTTAAAAAAAATCACAAATCACAGACCATAAAACATATTAAAGTTGTAGTTAGCCATGTTAACTATATATATATATTTGTTGAACATCTGGTCCCTGTTCCGAGCACCTGAGACAGAACATAATAAGATAGGGACAGGGACAGTGAAGTCACTGCTCAAGAAGTTTATAACTCAGTTAATAAATCAATCCGGAAAATTGTGGGTGGTGCAGAGACACGAAACATACACATGTCATAGAGTGCGACCAGGCGGCTCCTTCAGGCCACAGGATCAGAAAGAGCTGGAAACAGATTTGTCAGTTCCTGACACACAGATGGCGTTAAAAGGCATGGAACAGCAGAGGTCACCCAGAGAAAGCATGTAGGCCCATGACAGACACAAGGATACACTAACATTAAAAATTCAGTAGGGGGGCTGGAGAGATGGCTTAATGGTTAAGAGTACTTGCTGCTCTTGCAGAGGACCCAGGTTCAGCTCCCAGCAACTATGTGGTGGCAACAAATGTTCCAGGAGATCTGATGCCCTCTTTTGACCTCTGAGGGCATCACATACACATGGTGCACTAACGTGCAGGCCAAACACTCATATAGATAAAATAAAATTTAAAATATTAAAAAGTAAATTGAGCAGAGGAGAAAACAGTCGGGGAAGCAGAAAAACCCCTGGTAGCTGGGAGTCCACAGAGAAAGGTATTTCAAAGGAAGTGGTGACTCGACCATTTTTAAAGGCAGTTAAGAGGTCAAGCAATCTAAAAATAGAGACAATAAATAGCTGTGCCAAGCAGGTGAATCAGGAGTTCACCAAGCAGACCTGACAGAGGATAACCACAGATGTCCAACTGTAGGGGCTGCAGAGAGGAGGCAGGCAGCAAGCACAGGTGACCCCTGAGTGCTGACGTGATGATCAGAGTGGGGCGATGGCTGCAGAGCTACAGAGGCAAGGGAGGGAGTCCATCCTACCCCAGGAAGTCCTAGTGTATTCATATAGTGATGGGGAGAGAACACTGGTCCAGAGTGACCCATCCAGACCTGAAGTCCTAGATAAGGTGGTGGATGTAGGATAATAGTCACGCAGAGGACTGAATCAGGAAACCTCTCTGAATATTTAACATGAGGGGAACTGCTTAAACATGGAATGGTAGAGAAGTGAAGTCAGCAGGAGATATAGTAACCAGACATGATCAATGGCAAGATATCTTCCCAGCACCATGCATCTGGCAACTCATAATCATCTGTAACTCCAGCTCCAGAGGATCTGACACCCTCTTCTGGCCTCTGCAGGTACCTACACATACATGATATACACTCACAAATACAAATTTAAAAATAATAACAAAATCTGAAATAAAGTAAAAGACCTACAAAACGTGTGTGTGTGCAAGTATGTGTGTGTGTGCGTGTGCGTGTGTGTAAGCAGAACAGATATCAAGTGTCTTCCTCAATCACTCTATACTTTATCCTTTGAGACAGTCTCTCACTGAACCTGGAGCTCATTGGCTTGGCTAGGCTGGCCAGCCAATGAGTTCCAGGGACTTGCCTGTCCCCATCCACCCTACCTCCTCTCACCCTCCCATCCCTACCTCCACAGCACTGGGATTACAGACACTTGACAAGCTTTTATTTTGGAGTTGGGGAACCAAACTCAAGTCCTCCTGCTTGCCAGACAGGCACTTTACCAGAGAAACCATCTCCCCAGCACCTCCAAACCATTTTTATCATCTTATTTGCCCCCAAATACCCATTCAGCAACTACTCCTTATTCATCCTTCCCCTCTTCTCCCCAGCCCTGGCAACCACTAATCTACCTTCTGCCTCCAAGGATTTGTCTTTCTGAGTATTTCACGGAAATGCTGTCTATAATATATATTGTGTATGGTTGCTTTTGCTTTGGTTAGTTTCCTGGTTCGCCGTTATTGTTGCAAATATCAGTAGCTCATTCTTTGGAGGAGGAAGATTGGAGACAGAGTTTCATTAGGCCAGGATGACCTATAACTCATGATCCTCCTGCCTCAGTCTCCTGGGTGCTGGGATTATAGGCCTATGCAACCATGCCTGGCTCTGTTTCATCCTTTGTCTAAATAATAGTTAAATATATGGATACACCACCTTTTGTTTACCCCTTCACTTGATCAGTTCCTACTAGATTTTATGGTGGCCCTTATCTCTAATTCCAGCACTTGAGAAGCTGAGACGGTAAGAATGCTGTGAGTTCCAGGCCAGCAAGGGCAGCATTGTGAGTCCCATGCTAGCCTGGGCTACAGAGTAGAGCACAGTCTCAAAAAGAAACAAAAATAAAGCTGGTCTGGTGGCCCATACCTTTAATCTCAGCACTTGGAAGGCAGAGGCACATGGATCTCTGTGAGCTCAAGACCAGCCTGGTCTATATAGCAAGTTCCAGGCCAGTTGAGGTTACAGGGAGATCTTGTCTCAAAAACAACTAGTTCAATTTTAATATATAAAACACCCTATTTGCATAAATGAAGCAATCATCAATCATTTTCCACATATGTTGGGAAAAAGCACTCATTGTTTATTCCTGTCCAACCACAAGGAAGCTTTACAAACTGTAAGTGAACCATGTATGCGTGTGCCTCTCATGCATCAGTGTGCTGTGCAGTACAAACTGAATTACCACAGGAGACTGAAGAGAAACAGTCTCTTCTCACTCTCTCCCAAGTTCTAGGATGCCAGATATTTACCACCACACCCTGCTTGGATATGAGTCAATGCACAGTTCAGACAGGTTGAGTCTGAACCAGGCCTCTTTGGCACAGGCCTGCAAATCTAGCCACTCTTGAAAGATTTCTCTAGGGATTGTGAAATCGGACAAAAGTCCACTTACAAAATAGGATCTGTCATTGGAGGGCGGATGTGGTTGGATCCATCTGTACTGAGGTCGAACAGTGGTCTCTTCTCCTCAATGCAGTTTGCAGAGATACTGTTGGGACTGCAGCGTACCCACTGGTACCTGGCTCTCCGCATGGGATAACCTGCCCAAACAAGAAATCCACACGGATAAGTATTCCTAGACAGCTTCTAATCACTGTCTCTAACAAGTCAATCAACTGGATTCTAAACTGGCACAGAGTCACAGGTTTATGCCCAGGAACAAACCAGCACCCAGTGTGTGGCAGGCTTCGATGTACGTTGTTTGTCCTTCTCAAAGCACTTCTACCAAGTAGCAAGTAGTTCTAGATAATAAAATGGGCCAGATGGCTCAGTGAGGAATGGTGCCAGCCACCAAGCCCGCCTACCTGAGTTTAATCCCTGGGACCCACATGACAGAAGGAAAAACATAACTCTTGAAAGTCGTCCTCTGACTCACATGCACGTGCGCATACACACACATATAAGCACATAAAAGACATAAATAAAATATTAAATTTTTTATGTATTATTTTTCTTATTTCATGTATATGAGTGAATTGCTTACATGTATGTAAGTGCACTCGAGTCATGCAATGCCTGCATAGGTCAGAAGGGGGTGTTAGATCCCCTGAACTGGAGTTACGGATGGTTGTTAGCTGCCAAGTGGGTGTTGGGAATCGAACCTGGGTCCTCTGCAAAAGCAGCCACTACTCTTAATCGCTGAGTCATTTTCCTAGCCCTGACCTAAATAAAATATTGAAAAATAAAAAGACTAGAATAAAATTTGGAGTTAGCTGCCTAGAAAGGAATCTCAACTCTGGTGCTGGCTAGTTCTGAAACCCTAACTTCTCTGAACCCCCACTGTAAACTTGAACTCACAGAGGTCCTCCTGCCTCTGCCTCCAGAGTGCTGGGATTAAAGGTGTGTGCCACCACTCTCGGCCCCCCTAGAACTCTTTTTTACAATGTGTATGAGTATTTTGCTTGCATGCATGTATGTATACCATGTGTGTGCCTGGTGTCCATAGAAGGCAGAAGAGGCTGTTGAATTCTCTGGAACTGGAGATAGTTATCAGCTGCCATATGCGTACTGGGAACTGAACTCAGGTACTCTGCAAGAGCAGCAAGGACTAGAATGCTTGATCCTTGCACCTAAGTATTCCAAGTACTATTCCAAGTACTGGCATTGCAGGTGAGCGCCCCCATACCTAGCTCTATTATTATCATCATTATCATTATCTCCTCTATATACAAGGGTAGATCAAATCATAAAGATGCTAAGAAGAGGAGCCCAAATTGACATCTGTACCAGATCCTAAAGGCTGCCTCTCTTACAGAGATGATTCAGACGCTGTACTTCAATTGTAGCTGTTATGACAGGGGTCTTTCCATGTAGCCCAAGCAGGGTTGAATAGGGAGAAGAGCATCCTCTCTCACTCGCCCCCAAGCTCTAGGACACCAATATTCACTACCACCCTCTGCTTGGAGATGAGTTAGAGCACAGTTCAGACAGGTTGAGTAAACCAGGACTGGTGGCATAGGCCTGCAATCGTAGCCACTCAGAAGGCTGAGGTAGGAAGATCACAAATTCAAGGCCTGCCAGAGCTACAGAGTGAGTTCAAGGCTCTCCTGAGCAACTGAGGGAGAGAATTTGTGGTAGAGAACTTACCTAGTATGTGCAAGGCCCTAGGTGCAAACCCTAGTACCAAATGGGGAGGAAACCCAAATGGTTGGGTACATTCAGGAGACCTGTGAAAATACAGTCCTACCACTTGTCTTTTAGGGTCTTCTGGCACTAATGTTTTAAACTTATATTTTATTCATTTATCTGTTGGGGGTGGACATGCCAAGGCACGCAGTGAAGGTCAGAGGACAACTTGAGGGAGTTGATTCTCTCCTTTCATCACATAGGTTCTGGGCATCAGGCTTAACAACACGTGACTTTATCCACTGAGAAATCCTACTGGCCCCCATTCTTTTTTTAAAATAATTTTTTTAGCTGGGCATGGTGGTGCACACCTTTAGTCCCAGCACTTGAGAGGCAGACGCAGGTGGATCTCTGTGAGTTCAAGGCCAACCTGGTTTACATAGTGAGTTCCAGGCCAGCTGTGACTACAGGGAGACCCTGTCTCAAAAAGACCAAAAT